CTTACTTATATATATATATATATATATATATATATATATATATATATGGTGGACAAAAAGCGTAGCTGAATTATTAAGTTCCATTCTGTGGTTAGGATCTTTGCATCAGGATTTCAAAATTCTGATTCAAAAAATTGTTTGGATGACTCACATAAGTGTTGATACAGAAATAAAGCCAGTGGTATTGATAAATACTATTAGTGTATTTAATTTGAAATTGAGCATCCTTCAAATAACTTCAGAAAATAGACAATAGAAACGGCATGTTAAAATTGATTAAAATTTTTCCAAAAATCATGTAATCCTATTTTTATTTATTTTTTTGCCAATTATATGTCATGGTTCCTCTTTTCGCTAACCAAAACCTTCTTTCATATTTTTTGTTCTTATGTTATAACTTATCTTTTAATATTTTTTCGCGGTTTGGTTTTTTTTCAGGATCAACAATATGTTGTGGAAAAAATTATAGACAAACGAGTTCGAAATGGAGTGACGGAGTATTATTTGAGTTGGAAAGGATTTCCATCATCGGAGAACACTTGGGAGCCGGAAGAGAACCTTGATTGTCCAGATTTAATTCAGGTTTTTAGGTTATTTCTGTTCTGGTAAACGAAGTAAGCAAAAACAAAAAGAAGACAGTGATGTGAATTGAGTCGAATCCTCAGACAGAAGGAGTGAGTAATTAAATAATTAAATTTGGAGATGTTTAATTACTATCAAAAATTTCTGCACAGGCATTTGAAATACATGACAAGCGGACGAAAGAACAGAAACGAGCGAAGAGTGTTGAAAAAATGGGACGAGGCTTATTCGATCGAGGTTCGTAAAACTTATTTATCGAGGTCTTCAGTTACACAATTTTCTCGTAGGTTTTTGGATATCGATTGGTGTTCCAGTTATTAAATATTTATTTACATACGTGAACTGATACTCGAATTCATTCGTCAAATTACCAAAGTAGTAATTTTTCCACCATTCGATGTCTTTTCTGACTTTTCCATAGGGGGACACTACACTTTGAAGGTTCTAGAGATCACTACTTTCCCAAAGTACTATCCATATCTTTGCTTTGTTTTTCAATATTTCGAAGAGATAATAGGAATTCTACAACGTTAACTTTCATGCCTTTTATCATTTCGGAACCAGCAGGATTCTAAAACATCATTCCAAAATGTTTGAACAGTGTGGACAATTTATATCATCAGGAATAGTCTTTTTACTTTTTGTAACTTCACCTTTTTTGTCCATCTTTCTTTCTCTCAGGCCTCATTTATATTCTATGAAAATGAAATGCTGGCCAAATCAGCAGGTTTAGATAATGACCTGAAACGATGCCATTTCGAAACATCCTGCAATTGTATAAGTTGTTTGAATTCGACAATTGGCTTGTTCTTAGGTTTGGAGCCAGAACGAATTGTTGGTGCTACAAACAGTAGTGGAGAATTGGAACTGCTGATTAAATGGAAAGGAAGTGATATGGCTGATTTAGTTCCTGCTAAAATTGCGAATGAAAGATGTCCACAGCTTGTTATCAAATTCTACGAAGAACATATTCAATGGAATAGTTGTGCACAAGTGTGATACCTTCTGACTGTCTATATTATTTTTCATTGGATTGGCTAAGATTTGTTTATCCTTTCAGTATGACATGAATTTTGATTACAAATGCAGGACATATTGAAGAAAATTCTCAATTTCAACCAGGACGTATTACTAATCTCAGTTAATTAGAGGCTTCTGTTAGTTGCAGAAAATGGCCTTAAAATTGTTTCCTGTCATTTTTATGATATGTTGATTCGTTCGATTTTTTATGTACTCATTTGTTTAAAAAAAAAAAACATGTATATGTCTGAAATGGGTTTTAAAGCTTTTTCCTGACTTACTTAAGTTATTACCTTACGTAACATTAGCATTTATCATCTTGCCGTGGTGATACAATAATACAAAGGCTTATGATAACCGTTTCTGGTGAATTAATTCTTTCAATGTTATGTTCGTGCTATGGAAACTGTGTTAGGTACGTCTTTTTGAAGAATTCGATTAAGCCCAAAATACTCATTAAGCCATCAGATAAAGCTTGCTTCAAATCACGTACCATCTGATCAATTTTTTGATTGGATGGAAATTTCTCAGTGGTTCATTTCATGGGCCGTTTTTGAATTCTTAATTCAAAGTTAAATTCACTGTTCTTTTTTTGTTCAATGTAAAAAGCGATAACTTCGAATACGATGTATCATTCATCGCAAAAAAAAAAAATACTGAAAACCTGCAATAACAAATATAAGCAATAAAAGGCAATAATTTTAAACAGTAATTTAACATAAAATAGATGGAATAAAGTTCAACATGATACTACATTACATTTACTGCTAATTTCAGATGAATAATGATGACATCAAATAACAGAATTTATGGTTTCAATGATAAATAAAATTATATATATGAAAAAAGTTGGTAGTTAATTACAAGTGAAATCATTTACAACCAAAACTACTAAACAAAGTCATCCTTTTTTTTTTCGATTAAGGTATGTTTTTTTTTTGTTTTAAATGAATAAGAATTGAACTGTTGCGATGAATCATCCAATTAAAATTTGTGCTTAATTAGTTTTTGTAACAAATTATACACATAATTAGGTAAGGGTGATTTTAGCAGTTTCAACATTACGATAAAAGTACGATTAATCGAGATTTACTTCCTTTAACACCCATCCATATTCATTGTTTCTGATCAAATAAATTTTATATTGTAAAGAGCATTGTTATAAAGTAGTATAATGAATTATTCAAGTATTTAATGGTGTCGCCGTTTTTTCTTCAATCGTGACAAAAACTGAGGGTTCTTTCAGCCTCTTTAATTGATAGTGTCTCAGAGTTGAGTAATTAAACCTTTATTCCTATGAATTGATTAATACAGAAACGAATTCAACAATTACAATATCAATAAGACAAATTCAATAATAATATCAATAAGAACAAAACAGGAAATCATAGACCAAATGATATCCGATATCGTCTAACTAACCGATCTGTTGAAACGTGTCTTTCGAAATGATTTGACGCTCAGGATCTTCTTTCTGGAATAAAGGAATCCTGGCAAAGCTCTGAGGTTAGATCTATGATCACAATTACCGGCTTTAATAGAGCACATAGGCGCAATGGTCACACAATATTAGCTTACATTGCACAGTACATTACACCAGCAGTATCAAAGCAATTATTGATTTACTGTTTCTCCTCACGATTTTAGCAACAAAATGGATGATTAACTGTGTCGTCATACGGCAAAAAGGCCGAGAAGATCATTTGTAGTGAAAATGTCTCACCCATCCATTTATTAGAATAATAATTTTAATTTTAATGGCAAAAATTAGATTCTTCAATTTTTCATCTATTACTACAAATTATGAATGTTAAAAATAGGTAAGAATAAAAAATTCGAGAAAACAAACAACCACGTTAGACTAAATTTTCTGCGTTATCTTTTAAAATTTAATGATACAGTAGTTTTAGTGAATCAAAAGGATGAAAAAATATTTTATGTTATAAAATTTGCATGATAATTTTAAAGGAATGAAAAGGATAAAGGAGAAAGGAGATTTTATGAGTATAAATACGTAATGAAGCGAATTTTAACCAAATGCAATGCTTACCGTTTTTCGGATCATAGATAGGATAAGGAGATCTAACTTTTTTTGATGGTTTGCCTATTGAGAAGGTTTTTATTGTATCATCACATGGCAAACAAGTGTTGATCTTTTTTTTGCAGGTACTGTTTTTACAGTACCGTTTACAGGTACCGTAAAGTACCGAACGCCAACACTAGCATGGTGATGCCTCACTTTCACAAATATTTAGTTTTATGCCTTATTGCTGTTGCAACTATTACTTACCTCACCTTACGTAGATCGAATTTTCTACGCAAAGCATTTCGTGAACAGGTTAATTTGTTATCTTATTTTTGAAATGGTATGATTGCAAAACTCATAAGCTGAAGAAGACAGAAGTTCCCTATCAACCTGTATCTCAGGATGTTTTCCGTCATCCTCATATCACAATTGTCGAATCAAAAATTATGTCAGTCCAACACTTCAAACTGTCTGGGAAGAATCATTTCGTCGGACGGTATAATTGACAAAGAGATAGACAACAGGTCAGTGAAGGCATATGGAGTTTTCGAAAAACTTCATATGATTCTAGTGCAATAAACTGGTGAAGAGAAGTGCTAGGATTAGTGGTCTATAAGGTCACGCTGTACTATTATATGGTTCTGAGTCATAGGTCATCTACCGCTATCATCTGTGATGCTTTCACCAGTGCTGCTCTCGTACAAATCCTAAACATCCACTGACCACTGGTTTAATTACGTATCCAATCTTTCTGTTCTTACACAGGTAAAGGTTACCAGTATGAAGCCATACTAGTGAAGACACAATTGTGTTGCGCTATACACGTCTCCAAGATGATGGATCAACGTCTGCCTAAGATTTTGTGTAATGATGAACTCGTCACCGATTTCCCCAAAAGAAGAATCCTAAAGAGGAAAATACAAGAACTTTCTAAAACAATAATACTTATGTCTTGACATATGGACTATCATCAATGATTCACATTGGCCTCGAATCGGGAAACATGGAAACACATCATCCATAACGTTACTACTTTGAAAACATGCGAAGAATCGGTTGCAAGGAGAAAAGACAATGCAGAAAGAATCTTCCTCGTCAATACCACTAAAAATACATTCCACTGTACCTTTAGCATCCAAATTTGTCTATCCGGAATTAATCTTCTAATAACCATCAGAGCGTTTGCAGTAAGCGTAAGTTATTACAAATAAACACGAAGAAGTTCGGTGTGATTAAAAAATATATATATATATATAAAGATTAAAAAAAAATATAAGTAACTGTGTTGTGATGTATTAATTTGTGTTTACCAAAGTAAATCGCAAATAAGATTTGAAAATCGTATAAATTTCTCTTCCATATAAGTAAGATATATATCATTTTGCATAGAATTGTATATGTTATAGCTTATTATTTAGCAATGTGTTAACAAAAGAACATTACGTCAAATATGCCTAATAAAAAAGTGATTGATTAATATGCACTAACAAAAGTTCTAATCCTTGTCCAATCTTTGACGGATACATATATATATAATTCGTAATAATTTATACGATGCCAATATTGTTACCTTTATCCAACAGGTAAACAAATCCAAAGGATAAGGTAGGGATGAAAAAATTTTTGACAACTCCGGTGTTATATTGCGTAAATTTCCAAGAAAATATAATTTCTTCTTTATGATCGGAATTCTTTCCTTTATCTTTTTCGTTCGTTAAGCCTAATCATGATTATGATAAGTATGTGATAAATTTACATGGATTACATTTTCTATACGAAATGTTTCGTTAACTAATGAATTGTCCTTAAAATTCTATGGTTGCAAAATTCATCTTTGCTTCAGAAAAATTTGATTTTTTCAAATCTTTATAAAAGATTTAAAGCAGTATCGTTTTTTTTTTAAAGATACGATTAATTTTACCAAGATATTATCAAGAGATATATTTCTTTATCTCTTATTTTATTCAATTTTATCCTTTTGCTTTCATTTCACTTTTTTTTTCTCAGATATATAAATAAAATGAAAGACTGAAAATACAGACAGAACAATGTGACAGAACATTAAGCAATATCTGTAATATTTTTATCATCATCATTATCAGCTATCGTAAGTACATTTATGCAAAATTTCTTCTACGTTTAGATCTTACCTAACCTTTTACTTATTTCTCCATTGCAGAAATTGTCTTCTCTCTACTAGCAATCATAAAAACTTATTTGAGTAATTCATTCATTCAAAAAGCATCTTAGTAAAAATTTCAAAACACTTCACATCGCATGAGATGCTATTTGCATAAGGAAATATCAAACATTTTACAAATCAATTATGCATTGATGCTTTTTAGCCATTAATTAGCATTAATACAGAACTGGATCATCCAGGCAAAAATAAAGCAAACAAACAAATAAATAGTTCAAATTATGGCTGATATACTTTACAATATTCCTGAAACTATAAATTGAAATTATAAACTGAAATTATAAATTCACTTTTCACATTTATTTTTATATACAGTTACGATCAGTTAGTTTCACTTGAAAAAATTAATTAATAAATAATCTTTATGAAGAAAAAAACAATTATTTATGATAAGTTTCCTCGTTGCAATTTTTTTCGTCAAATAATGAAAATGTATTTAATTATAGTTTTAATTGTTGCCAGGAATGTTTGTTTCTTTTCAAGTTGGAATTGATTTCACTTTCATAATTCGTTTTTTTGCGCGAAACAATGAGAAAGTTGCACGACGATATGGCTCAAGTGCAAGAATTGTGATAATGATAACAATAATAACTCGCATCTAAAAATTATATAACTGATACTGTAATAACATTTCACTGAGAAATGAATGATAAAAGGATAAAATTAATAATGAAGAATTTTTAAATTTATTACCTCATAGAAATAATAAATCATTATATTGAGTATGCATTTGAAATTACTCTTAACAAAATCATGTTCACAACCGGCAATTATACAAGTAGTATATGCGCATGCATGAACTAAAATATGCTTTTATTACTCTCATCAATATATATGAATAAACTTAATAGAATCGAAGTGTTATGCTTTAATTTTATGTGCTCATAATTTTTGCTTAATAATGCATGTAGTAATTATATTTTTACTTCAAAGTTTAAAAATTTAAAAAAAAATTTAAAGCAATTTTCTCACAAAATTTTCAATAAAATTATATAATTTCAATGAAATATACCAATAATATTTGTATTAATAAAATGATGAAAACTTACCAAACATTGGAAAAGTAATGAGTTCAATCGAATAACTGTATATAATGAACGAATATAAACGTTTTTGTTGCATTTTTGCAACACGAGTATGATTAGCTCTCAATGGCTTATATCTGCTTATTTCAATCGATCCCTGTAACATAACAAATACCTCATTTGTTGTTATCCATTAAAAATTTCAATTCACTTCAAGTGTACACATAAATATATCATATTTAATAATTGAAATGAAACTGTTCTTCTTGGCTTGCTTAAAATTAAAAGGAAAATCATATCATCATATACTTCTGATTTATTATAATTAATATCGGTATGATTAATTTCGGATAAGATGATTATTTTCGTGGAATTTTGTAAAAATTATAAATTTTGTAAAATTTTACTCCGAAAGCAGCAACAAATAATGCGATGAATAATATGATATGAGTGAGGAAATACGGTAAAAGTGTAATGGATTCTTTAAATAATAAGGTTACAAAACCGCTCCAAAGAATTATTGTGATATGCAGTGTAGTATAGTATAATTTTTGACTTCTGAAAATGAAAAAAAAAGAAAAGGAGAAAAAAAGCAGCAAAAAAGGATAGAGGGCAACTGCTTTTTTTTTTTTAAATTGGAGAAGATATATAATATCAGAAAAAATTAAATAAGCATTTCTGCGAAATATTTGATAAAAAGATAAATGTCACATGTTACTTTAATATTTGAAATATTTTAAATAACAAAGATGGGCAAAATAATACGAATATGTCATTTAACATATGTATATGTCAAGGTCTCGATATTTCCGATGAATACAAAGTAAGAGATTGAAAAATAATAAAAAGTACTTACTTGTTTATAAATTTCTTTGAATAAAAAATAGGTTTCACGTAAGGTAAATAACATACTATAACAGCGTAGAGTGCTAAAGCATGAAACCAAATGCTTCCCAATTTGACAAAAAATCGAGCCCAATTCCGAATTGCAATTCTAAAAAGAGAGCAATTGTTACATCAGATCATCAGATCATTATTGATGGAAAAAAAAACCAAATGCTTTGCAATTTTTTTGAGACGAGATAAATTTGATTTTTTTTGGGTCATAGGAAAATTTCGCTGGTCAAAAAAAAATGTGGGAAAACAAGAGAAATAGGAAGTTAATTTCTATTTATCCAAATATAATTATCATTTTCTAGAACGCTTGATCATCCTATATTGAAATAATATTTTTATAGAAGAAAGCGGAAAAGACATTTACGATCATTTGGATGAATTGAAAACAAAACTTACAAATATAATCTACTTTCTGTTATGGAAATAAAATATTTCGCAATATTAATTATATCAATTATGAGAGCAGCAATAGCCGATGATGTGCAAGCGATCAGTAAATTTAGCGTGAAATATTTAAAAAATCCATCTTTCACTTTTGAAATTGTTAAATATAGCATGAAAGGAATGATAATAAAGTCACCAATAGTAGCAATGTATGACAACACATATTTTGCACTGTACAATTTTGCTAAATAAACATACTTCGTGAGCAGATTTTTCCGTTTTTTGTTTATTGTTTTATCATATCAGTACATAAAGTTATAATGTAAAGTTAAATTTACGTAGTGAAAATAGGGAATATGATAAACAGATATTCTTTGATGTAAATTGATTATATTTAAACGATAAATAGGTATTCTTTTGACCATATTCTCGAAAATATTTATTTGAATTTCTCGAATAAATTTCAGGAAACAAATTCAAATGTTTAAATTTTTAAGTATCCATAGAAATGGTCAAATATAAGCGAGTAAATAAAACCGAACTGTAGTTATAAACTTACAACACAAGAGAAACAGGCCTGTAGATGCAGGACCCGATGAACTACTAGTGTTATTGAAGTAGTTACTGCCGTTATAATAATAGGTATCGTTCATTTCGCTGAAAACGATAATTTTGCCAAGCTGTTAAAGCGATATACAAGTTGAAGTATTATGTAATCTTCAAAGGAAAGCTAATTCACGTAGTTATTGTCCTCAATATTTTAGCAAGTCAATTGAAGTCGCTTTGATGGTGTCTATCAAAGCGACAAAAATGTATCATGTAATGTATTCATTAAAGTTTGGAACAAATTAATTACTGATTGTTGCCGAAATGAGTCGACGCACCTCATAAATGAAAGTTTAAATTTGTTTGAAAGTAAATAATTTTGCTTTATTCAAATAGTTGCTGGAAGGTGTCTACCTATCTTACCTGGTTTATCAATAGCAACGTGAAACGATTTAATGTGTGCTTATGATGAAGATAAAATATTGCAATAATAATCTCAGCAATATTTCAATAAAATAGTTTATGGCCCTTCATTTAAACATTACTGAAGTTATAATCCCGCATCCTTAGGTTTATTTACGCTCGGTAAGATATCGTTGACGACATTGAAAAACTTCGTTAAGGTAATTAGCGTGAAACTCGAAAAGCGCCAGCTAATATATGAATGCGACGATGTGGCTTATGAGATGCAAACTTCATCAGTAGCAGCAATTTATTATTTGATTATTTTTATCATTAGTCTTTCTCGATGACAGAACAACACCGGATATGGAATGAAATTTTTTAACAGCTACAATCATAGCTGCTAAGAAAAGTGATACATATATGATATCCTTCAGTGAATACTCAGAACTTTTGGTAGTATCAAGGTAGTTTGAGACATCTTCAACATCAAAAATCTTTAAACCATAAAATTCTCTATAGAGTCTGAATAGTTTTCATAGAGATAAAAGCATTTATAATTGACTCTTTATGCGGTAATTATTCAATAATATCAATTCATCGTTTCATTGCAATTCTTGTCCTCCTGGAATTTTTCATAAAAAAAAAGGTCACAGAGAATTGCTGTATAGCCTTATCAGTTGTAGTTCTTTAACCAATTAGCTTGTTTCCCTCACAACACATTTACGACCACAATGCCTACTGAAAATGAAGCTTAATGAAAGCAAAATTATGTATTAAAGCTGCATCGACTTCATTACTGCTACATAAAATCACTCGAATGTTCAGAATTGGCGGTTTTGACTTGGCCCATATGCTCATGTACTTTAAATTTTTATTCAAAACTATAAACAGGATATACTTAAAACAAAATGAAAGAAAAAGCAGTAATAGCGCACAAATTACTTCCCATTGAATTAATGCCGGAAAAAAGACCCAATTTCTATTGCATTATCAATGATATAATATTTTTTGAAAAAATAGGTCGCGCATACGGTATAGCAAGAATCTAACAAACATTTTGAAAGGGAGAAAATATAATGTGCAAAGATGGCTTAACGCACAAAGCTCTAATCGCCTTTGGTATCATCTT